TTAAAGATGGTTAGCAGTTCACTGGGCAGATAGAAATATGCAATATCAAAAGTAAAGAAAGTTAAAAGTTCACTATTCTATTTCAAGAGGATATTCTCACCAAGTATTCTGTCACCTCAGAAGAGGCAGTTGCTAGTTCCTTTTAACACTACAATGCATCTGAGGATGATTTAAGCACTGTTACATGTTTTACATTTTCCAAAATATTATCCTTTGGTAAACAAATTAACTTGTTTAGGACGCCTTCCTAACAATATTTCTCTAATCATGAAAGCTAGTTTTTAAGATCTAACATGCTATAGATACCAGATAAAAACCTTAGGTTTTAGATTCTGCAATAAAACAAGTCTTTCAGTAAAATCATTTAAAACCATTACAATACTGGTTAATTCAGACCGTAAGTAGTCACCCCCTTTATCCCATTCATTTTATAAAACATCTGCACTGCACTGAAAGGAGGAGACTTAAGGGCACCATTTTGGCTCAATAGCTCTGGAGATGGATGACCATTTAAAGTAGTTGCATTTTGGATGCAGTGAATTTTTGTATTACATAAATGAAAAACTTGAAAAAAAATTGTAATTTAAATTTCAAAGATCTGTACTTGGGGAAAATCATTTTTCAGGCTAATTTACTAAATAAAGTGTGCATGCCAAGAACCATACTTAGATTAAGTGTGCAAGAAAAGTTTAATGTATGAGAATCTATATTCTTGCATTTGTTGAACAATTTTAGAATCAGGGTAGCTAATAAAAACTACGCAAACATTATCTGATAGGATAGATAAATGCCTACAAAAGCTTTTAATGCATTTAGAACATTCTAGTTTACCTACAGAAACTAGGACAACTTTACCAACAACAAACAGCCCATGAACATTTATTTCCTTAGGTACTTAAAGGGCAAATTTTCAAATGATTTATCATGTATCAAGTCAGAGCTATAGATATTAGAAAAAGGAGTATCTAAATTCTAAAAGCTTCAGTTCCCTGAAATGTTACTTTTATTTCTACCAAACATCACCTCATCACTCTAAGAATAATTCAGTATTCTACAAAATGAGAGCAACTAGGGATATAAAGAATACTATCAAGTAACATTTACCACATAATCAAGTAGAATAATAGAATATAGATAAAACCCAAATTAGAGTGTCTGAATATCTTCCCCCACTGAATTTTGTACTACACTTGGGTGGACTGGATTCACTTCACAATAAGCAGTTGTGAGTCAAGAAAGATACTCAGCAACTGTTACACCACACTTGATGTTATGAACAATGCCTATATCTATATTCAGGATTACAAAAAGTAAATGATAATTTAAGTTTCCAAATACATGAAATGTCTTACATTAAATACTTCCAATTATCATCAATGCAGCATTATTTTAAAATTAAAAAAATATATCTTATTTTCAGTATCATTAACTAGTGTAATAAAGTTACTTCTGTATAACTAAAGAACTAAAAAATTGCACTACACTAAATAAACATATGACACTTCAAGAATTTTGTCAAATTTCTGTTTTTTTCATGTCAGTATAACTTTAATCAACAAAAAAGGAAAAGGTTTATGGAAAAATAATTGGAGAGGCCTTTCTAAATTTTAATTCTTTTGTAAATATATGAAAGATCTCTAAAACATGGAAAGACAGTTTTGTAAAAATGTACAATTTAATTCCTTCATGCTAACAGATTAATCCTTCCCCCTTAATGAGCTTTTTTCTTGCCTAAGAATAGTTGATGTGATTTAATTTTCAAAGCTGTGAGTCACTGGAAAACTTTGTGATTTCTTCCAAATCTGTAACCACAAGCCTATCCCAGTCAACAATAGTTTTATAGTCACATTTACAATAAAGGTACAGATTACTTGTAAGCAAAGGCTATTGAACACAGTGGGCTATAACAACTTATATTTAATGTCTATAGGGCAAAAGAAGCCATTTGCTGAAAAGGCTTCCCTACAAGTTCAGCCCTCCTCCTATCTCCGGAAGTGGATTCCTTGTATTTAAGTTTTAATTTAGAATATAAAGGCTACACAAACAAAGCAATTGTAATGAAAAAATGTAATAATTTCTGATAAGATATCTAATTAGTATATTAAGAAGTTATGCTAAGAATTTTGAAAGTTAGGTGTCTTACTGAGAACTAAAATACATACAAGATAACAGGCATATAGACAAGTAGAACAATTCACATCATAGTAGTTAAATATTTACAAATTAAAAATACAGCAGGAATCTGTACCAGCTACCATACTGATGTTAAATGTATATATATGGAGCTTGAGTGTCGTTAAGATTCTGTAAAAAACTGAAGGTAATTTTTCAAGAGATGTTATAATTACACAACTAAGGTGTACATGTAAAAAGTCCCTAGTCTGGCCAATTAAAAGCAAACAGTTACTGCACTATTTTCTAAACCTTTTGGAACTGTTCACAGGTTTTAAATATAGAAGAAGCTTTGCACTGCTTTTCAACAGACAGTTATATGTCCCCCATAAAGCTGAAATTACTCAAAGTGAAAATTATGCACTTAATAACTTTTTACAAGATGGCTATGAAATTTTGTTACACAATAGCCTTTAGTCTCCTTTCAAGGAATTGAGAACTAGTAGAAGTATACTATTTTTATATTAATGTTAGACTTTTTAATTTCTGCAACATCCATTCCAAAATCGTTTCCAAAACATAGCATTTTAACTAATGCATTAAGAAAACTCTCCTGAAGCCTTGCTACAACAAAAGAAATGCTTGGATCCAAACGAATCTGCAAGTGGATCCCTATTATGTGGCATTAATTTATCATACACAGGTCACTTTAATGTCTTTATCTTAAAAACAAACGGAACCACCCCTTTGCTTTAGGCAGAGGTTCTGCATAGGTGATAACTGTAAGAAAAGAGAAGCTGTCTCTTTAAAATGCCCTGCTCTGTCCCTGATCCCACGTGGAACCAACATCAGCAGCACTTTCGCATTAACTTCAATGTGATGCAAGATGAGGCATCATTTTATATAAATAAAACAAGAAGGCTGCTGAATACATTCTTTATGGGACACAAACAGGTGAACTAAGCATGCCAGTGAAATCACCAGGCATCCCCAGAAGAGGTGCCCTTACTCTGCGCCCTCTACGCCAGAAGAGGTGCCCTTACTTTCTCTCTCTCTGAGGAAATGTTCCAATCCAACACTACACTGAAGAATCCAGTTTAAATAGAGGATGGAGTCACAAGTAAAATTTGAATTTCAAATGCAACGAAAATGTACTTTATACACCGGAAAGGTTTACTCTTTGCTTCACACATCCTAATTAGATCAGGAAAGTGACACTACAAAGGCATTACATTCCGGCCAAAAAATAAGAAAAAGAGAAACCACCCGCACACAAAGAGCATTAAAAAGGAAGTTATAAAGGAGCAAATATAGCATTTATCTTATCTAAAAATCACTTCACATTACCCCAAAGTTATGTAGTTTCTGCACTACCATCTCCCCCTACCTCTCTCATCTGAATGGGATTTTCACGTTTTCTTATTGTCGGTGGCGAGTTATAAGAGGCTTTTGCCTTTCCAAAGAATTCATCAACAAAAAAAATAATAAATATTAACTCCTTGCTCCCTGAAACGTTAAAAGGGGCATGCGAGGACACGGGGTTTATTCCGTTACCCTTAGGAAGAAAAGGGGGATCAGCCCCGCTTTTTAAGTATTTTTGGGAATTTTTTTCTAATTTTTATTTTGTTATATGCCTCAGTTCTCCCTCCATTTTGGTTGTTTATGATACTGACAACAAGCTGTCCCTGCTCTCTCTCTCCGGATCTCTCCTGCTTTCAGTTAACAAACCCCTCTCCCCAATGCAACAACACTCAGCACTAACTTGGATTCACACTTTCCTCTAAACATACTCGAATGAGGGAAGCAAAAGGCTCCTGGGCGACTCGAAGGGAGGAGAGCAGATAAATTATCTTCTTTATTATGAAAGGAAAAACTGTAGTCTTCCCCCCCCCCAAAAAAAAAAAAAACCCGAAGGAAAGGGGGGCTGAGTTCCACAAAGTGACTCCAGATCCCCCCAAAAGATTGAGCTGCCTACTTCCTAGGACAAACACTGGAGAGTGGGGTCCACCCGGGAAATTTTTGTGCAAAATGCGCCTGGTTTGATAGTTCGGGTGAATTTATATTAATTTTTCCCTCATTTTTGGGCAACACGGTCTCTAATGTCTTCCGCTCCCTCTCGCTGCTGTCACTCTATTCACAGCACAGACCCTGGAGAAGGAGGGGGGGGGGGGACTAAACTCCTAGGATATATTTTTACAAAATACATTTTCCAGACTATCTATTTTTCTCCCCTACTTTCTGCCTTGGGGTCCCCAGAAGGATGGTGGGGGCAGCTCAGAGATGGGAGGGGGCGCGATTAACACAAACTTTTCCTTGCCGCTGCTTGCTGCTCCTCTCTCCGCTCCCCCTCCTCCTTCTCCTCCTCCCCCTTCATAATTTAAATAACCCTGATATTTCCCTGCTAAACCCCGGCGCCTGCCCCCCAAACCCGCAGCAGACTCACCGCGGGAGCCTCAGCATCCCCTCTGCGCCCCGTTTCCACCCTTTACAGTGTTCTCCGATTTTTCTGTAATTTTTTCCCCATATTTCGGGCTGGACGCGGCGGGCCTGGAAATTGTTTGCTTTCCCCTCTTTCCAGCAGCCATTGTAGTGTATGCGCTGCGGTGCAGCCCAGCCTGCCGCACACGCCGCGCCCACACCGCCCGCCGCCCACACGCGCCGCGGGTTGGCCGCCTCCCCCCGTCACTCAGGGCTCCGGCCGCGCCCCGCTGGAGGCGCCTGCGGCCCGCGCCGCCCGCCTGATTGGTGCAAGGAGACGCCGCTCAGGCCGGGGGAGGGCGGGGCCGAGCGGGGATTGGCGGCCCGGCCGCGGGCTCGGCGCTGTCACTCAAGCCGGCCGGGGAGCCGGGAGTGGGCGGCGGCGGTGTCAGTCCGGGGGGAGCCGCGGGGCCGCGAGCGGGCTAGGCTGCGCCCCTACATAACTGCTGCCGCCCGAGCTGCCGCTGACGTCTTTCGAATTGGAGACGGGGCTCGCGCGCCTGCTTAGCCGCCCGTGAGGTAAGTGCGGGGCCAGGGTGCCGCGGGCCGGTCTCCCCCGCCGGGACGTCCGCGCCCGGGTGTCCCGCGCTGCCTTCCCCCTACAGCCCGGCCCGGGCGGCGGCCGGGGACCCGCCGCTCCGGGAGCGGGGCTTTGCCTTCGCGCCTCAGGGTGGGGAGCAGGAGCGGGGCCCGCTCGCTTCACCTCCGCGGCTGCCCTGGCGGCAGGGGGCGCCCCCGGGAGCTGGGCCCGGGCGGAGAGGCGGGCGAGCCTGCAGCGGAGTTCAGGCTTCGCTGTCACTGAAACAGGGGGGCGGGGGCGGTGTCTCCGCTCGCCACAGCCCCTCGCCGCTGCGGGCGGTGCCCTGCCCCCCTCCCACCCTCGGGAAGCGGCGCCGACCCTCTGCCGGCGAAACGGGGGAACAAGTGTGTAAAAGGCCCCCGGGCTCCCGTGTGACGGGCGCCCAGCGTGTGCTGCGTGTCCCTGGGGGCAGCTCGGGGTCGGAGCCTGGGGCCTCCCGAGACCCGCCAGGTGCCCGGAGCGCAGCGCCCGAGAAAGTGACTTGCCCGTAAGCAGGTTTTTGGAGGCACCTTCCTGTCCCCGCTTTGAGACGGTAGAGGCCAGGCGAGGGGCTGCCCCTAAACCACTCAGCCCCCTATTGTAGCCTCCTCCGCTCTCACAGATCGAGGTGTTAATTCAGCCCTCCTCGTTAATGACCGTTTTAGGGCTTGACTACTAGGTTCCGCTGAAACACTTGGCAGTAGTGGGAGCCCTGGAAAATAGCTTGATGGCTCTTGAGCTGAAAGTCTGCCCTAGGGTTAAACTGAACTTGTAACAAATATCTTCCTTGTCTGTGCTGTTATTTACAACTGTTCACTAATTTAGTAAAACATAATTAAAAACTGTAGTATAAACAAACCCTTGATGTGTTTGGGGTTGGCCCTGTATTCCTAAAGCAGGAGGGTCTGTCTGTGTATGTGTAAAAATCGGAGGGGAGGGGGGAAGTGATTACTTCCTGTTAACTTAACTAAATCAAATAGTAGTAGCATTTGCATGTGACCTACCTGTCTGTCAGGCTTGATAGTGGGTTGTGCTCCTAATGTTGTTGAAGCACTTTATAGAAAATTCAGTTCAAGAGCCATCACATTATCTTCCATGGTGCCCTTACCTGCGAAGTATTTTTTGTAGTAGTGCTCAGTATTTTTGCAAATAGACTAGTTTTTGCACATTCTAAACCAAATTACTAAACAACTTCATAAGAACAAAACCTACTTTTTAAACATCAAATTGACAAACAATACACTTTCTACATTTCATTGTCAATTGGACTGGACAGATTGACAAGCACTGGAAATATCTCTGCTTTAAGTGAGCTATTAGTCATTTGTGTACTGACTGACATTAATAGTGTAAACACTAGACAAAATCTGCTTCCAGTAAGTGACCTTCGGCCTCTTCATTGAAAGGTCACTTTCATGGAGATGGTCTTAAAAGCATACCAGCAATGTGTCCTTATTGATCCTGCTTTTCTAAAATAAATGCAACACACCAATTATAAGTAATACTTGGGCAAACCTCTGAAATTTCATGTTAATAGCAATTATGTAGATGGTATGTGCCCTATATACCCATTCATAAGCTGAATGGTTTTGGTAAAAAAAAAAGTGACGCATCGAAGAGCGGAGGTCGGCTTATAAATGGGTCTATACCAAAATTTGATGATTTTATACTCTCTGGAATCATTGAATTGAATATCTAATACATTGTCGTTTTGTTTACTTGGAGCTCCTGCAGGCATGGAGCCCCTCAGCTCCTTGTGGCCGCGGTTTGCTGTTCCCAGCCAATGGGAGCCGCAGCCAATGGGAGCTGAGGGGCTCCATGCCTGCAGATGCTCCAAGTAAACAAAATATCCTGACCCGCCAGCGGCTTACCTTGACGGCTGGAAGCCAAAGTTTGCCAGCCCCTGAAATATAGGGTCGGCTTATGAAAGGGTCATACAGGTTTTGCTGTTTTTACCTAACCATCTTAGGGGGTTGGCTTATAAATGAACGGGCTAATGAATGAGTATATATGGTAGGTTCTTTTGACCTTTTCCGCAATCCCTGGTTATCTAAGAACTAGCATTACTGTTAGTGTCCATCCATTTTATTTTTAAACCCTGTGTGATCAAAAACACTCTTGCTCTAGCTAAGAAACTGAATATTTAGCTCCAGATCAAAGTTACAATACAGCTAAAATGTCAAGCTCACTGTGAAAACAGTTGCTAAAAAAATTTTCAGTATGTGAATTAATATTTTTAACTTGTATGCCGTCTTCCCTCAGCACTAAAATCTGAGAGTTCAAATGCTTCTCAAAAGAAACAATGTTCTAAAGTGTGATTCTCCAGTGGAAAAGTGCCTATTAAAAAGGCATTGGAGTTCCATGCTTGTTTCAGTGACTTCAAACGCTGTTTAAAAAACATGTTCCAACTGTATACTCTGGTCTTAGATCTGAAGCTGCTGTTTCTCCCTTGTACACAATTACCTGTGGTGTAAATAAAACCACCCCCAAACAAATTAGGAAACCAAATTCTGCCCTCAGAAGCACCTGGGCAACCTAGTTTTCAGAGAGGCTGCCCAAGTGTAACTAAGGGCAGAATTTGGCCTGCAATTGAAACTTAACAGTTCAGTTCATTTACAAAAAGTACTAGAATCCCACTACCTCCTATGTATTGGCTCTGCAGTGGTAAGAACACTAAAAAGGACTAAATAGATTTGTTACTGATATAAGCAGAATTAGTACAGGGTGCTATTTTTACTGTAGATACTCTTAAATGACATTTGTATTTCTAAGCATGTCTTTAACAGCAGCTTTTTGCAGAAAAATAATATTTGAGATCAAGTAGGAAGCTCAGTGTCAAACTGAAACTGGTTTTCTACTTTATTTCACACTGGTTTAGCAATTAGAAACTAGCTTCAATATTAGTATGTAATCATTGTTTAAAAATCTGATTCTTAAATGTGGGTTAAGTAGGATATAAGTGGACATTTCCCTAAGGAACCATTTTTGTGTCTCAAACATGTCACTAATTGGTAATATAGTAGTAGGTCTAGATGTTTCTGTACTCAAAGCCTAGTTTCCACTATGGCCCTGATTCTTGTGGACTGACCAAGAAGCACTTGACCCAAGCTAGGAGGGGTTGCATGTGCACATTACTCCTTTTCAGTTCTGTGCCATCTGGGTGCTAGTCTGGTCACCAGTTTAAATTCGAGCAGTTTGAGAGTTCTCTAAATATGCAGTGGCTGTAAAAAGTCCCCAGGGCCTTTTGTAGTATCTGGGGATTTTGGGGGTGTAGGACTATGTGAGACATACCCCTTTCCTCAGCCAAATCCCTACACTGATAGTCAGGAGTTGGCATAGGAGCTACTACATGGCTAGGAAAATGGAATCCTAGTGGCTTGCTAAACTGGTCTGAGCTGCTTTGTACTATCAGAGTAGCATGAAGCATCCTAATACTGTAGAAAACCAGGCCTCTTGTATACAGAAAACCAAACAAGTTTCTGTATTCCTGTTTTTTCTAAATTATATGTTTTAAAAAAAATCTCTGCCAGATCTTGCATGTATGTACTATGGTAGAGGTTTCTGTGTTAAACCACTTAAAATGGAAATTCAAACTGAGACTCTTAACATTAATGGCACTCGAGGGTCAAATATAAAAAAATTCTTTCTTTCCTGCTTCTAGTTGCAGTAAGACATTTTAGGATGTCCAGAAATGTGCAGCGACTTAGAGACCACGATACAAATCCATGTCTAGTGGTAAGATTGGTCAGTTATGATTTAATCTGAAGATGCATTACTGTAGGGGTATGAAAACTACCCAGATAGTTCCTTCTAAAAGCAAGTAGTTTATAATTCTTCATCTTCCTTCTGAAGGGGTGTATGTGTGGGTGTAAACATCAGAAATATTTGGACCTTTTAAGTTGAAAATATTAAGTTCAGAAACTAATAGCTCTTCATGAATGGATGAGGTAGGCTTCTGGTTATCAGGTTTGGAATTCTGATTGTGGTTTCAAGGACAGACTTAAATCCTTGTAGCTTTGATTTGTTCCCCTCTCTTTTAATTACCTAAAAAAAAAAATCAAGTGTTTTGCAGTTTATTGTGTTCTTTTGAAAGAGCCAAACAGAAGTTCTATCTGCGTTCTGCAGATGGATGACTTGATTTTTTTCCCCCCAGAGGTTCTGAGCAGCCACAACTCCTAGTTGAAGTCTTTGCTTTTAGATTCCCTGGCCCTTCTTGTAAGAGCAAGAGTTTGCCCTAGAATCCTTGATGCAAAGTTTCTCCTTCTACTTCCCCAACTATTGTTTGTAGCACTTAGACAGGTTGGCTGCCTCCCTTAATCTTAATTTATAAAATACTTTGGGGTTTTTTTAGAATGAAATAATACACTAAAAATGTGTAAATATATTTATCCCCACCAGCTCTTAAGTGTGACATGTCTTCCATATTAAAGGAAACAGATGCCTCTAGACAATGTATGGATGACAATAACTACAGAAAGGATATGTGTGCCTCTTATTTTTTAAAGTACAAAAACTGCAGAAAATTTTGGGTAAGTAGGCTTGAGCAAAATTCTCAATCAAACAGAATATTTTGGTTTAACAAAACAGTCCTTTGGGTTTATCCTGGTAACTAATGCCTAACACTAATCAAACTTTTTGCACTAGATAATTCCAGTTTATACTGTCAATACTCTGACCTGTATTAAGGTTCTAGTATTTTCATTTTAATAGTGCTAAAACAGTAATGAAAGAATAAAAGTAATTTTAGTTTTGCCTCAGTGTAATTTTAAGAACAATGACTATACTAAGTAATTTTCAGACATTAAAGTAATGCATAAGTGCAAGTCTTAAACTGCTATATTTGTCCTTTTTTACAAATCTGAGTGGGTCTACTCAAATGTTTTTTACAGTGTTAAATACGCCCAGTCTCCTTCTGAATCCTTAGAATTTAGTACTGGTACTATATCCTGACCCAAATCTCATGGATATATTAGAACAAAATTTGTAAACAATATAATCAGGGAGTTTTCCTTCCTATGTTAACTTCCCTCACCATTCTATTCACTTTGGCCTGGTCTACACTGGGGGTGAATAACGTAGCTGAAGTCAACATACTTAGATCAACTTACCGCGGTGTCTTCACTACGGTGAGTCGACTGCTGCTGCTCCCCCATTGACTTTGCCTGCGCTTCTCACCGAGCTGGAGTACAGAAGTCGACGGGAGAGCACTCGGGGATCGATTTATTGCGTCTAGACTAGACACGATAAATCAATCCCCACTGGATCCATCGCTGCCCGCCGGTAGTGAAGACCTACCCTTTGTCTTCCCTGACATTGTTCTCCTACACTTCATCTTGCTTCCTATTAATAAATCATAACTCCCCCCCCCCCCCCCCCCCATGGGGTGTTCTGCTGCTGCCACTTATGTTTCCTTCTAACTCCAGCTTTTTCTTGTTCAGACAAAACATTCTGCAGTGGGAATAGCAGCAGAGAAATCACTCCTTCTGTGCTGTACTAGCAACACCCTTTAGCTAATGACTTTCAATAATACTTGTCTGCAAACAGCTTTTTTGGTAGGTTGCACAATTATGCAGTTAATCTGACATTGCCATGAGAATACTGTAGTTCTTTAAAAGTATTTGCTTTCACCGTCTACTGAAACGATAAGGTGGATTATCTGATGTTACTTAACCAATACCAGTGCATTTAACTGAAGTTATCAACTAATCAGATTTTAAGTACCTAGTTTCTGCTATAAAGTACTTCTCAGAAGTACATTCACTAGGAGCTAAATTAGAGGCAGAGACTTCTGAGAAATTAGTGTTCTCATACTCACTTTCTTCTGTTTACAGCATGCCATTATGATACAAAGGAGAAGAGATGGTGTGAAACCAAATATGCCTACAGCAGACGAGAGAGAGAATATATTGAAGTCAATAGGAGGAACACCATACTGATCACATAATCTTTATTGTTTACTATTTAATATTATGTACATATGAAGATTTCTGTCAGCTAGGCATTAAATTTTTTTAACATTGCGTCTGTTTATTTAATCATAAGATGTTGCCAACCAAAAAAAGAACATTACCTTAGATTGTAAAGCTCTTTGGAGGATTGGGGGACATGGTGCGGCAGGGACAGCTTTTCTTCTGTTTGTACAGTACCTAGCACAATGGGGTCCTGGTCAGAGTAGGTCTTCTAGGTGCTACCATGATGCAAATAAATAGTAATTACTATGTGCCTAAAAGGGTCACTACAGACATGTACAGAGATGGCCTCGAGGCAGTTATGGAAGTAATTCTTAAACTTTCACTTAATGTTGAATACCACATAATTGGCCTTTGATATTTGACAGCTTCTTCAAAACAAGTTTTGGCCTAGAGGCATATCTGTGGCAGGGGACCGAGCAGCTGCCTAGAGTGAGAATTACAGAAGAAGAGGAACTAAGACTGGTTTGGTACAACTTAACCAATAACTACTACTCTATTGTTTTGCATAATGGTTAAAGTAGCAGGTCCCTATTCTGGGTTTTTCATATTTATGTAAAAATACCAACGTTGACATGAGTCACACTTATCACCGCTCTAATTGGAGGCATCTGACAATACAATCACTGAAGTTACAACTTAAAAAATCCAAACAATACAACCTACTACTAGGAAAAAATACATAAATGGATTTCAATGGAAACTAATTTCTAGTTAAAGCAAAAAAAATAAATCAGGTTTGTACAGTAGCCATCTGCTTCTCTAGGGAAAGGCTTGTGAGGGAAGAAGTTGAACGCCATTGCTCTTAATAACGTGCTTTCTGATTAACTGTTTATCTTTAATGAAATACTTTTTTATACCATTGCCAGCAGGTAAATAGTAATAGATATTAACAAATAACTGTTGACTGAAAATGCTTAACCTACAATTACTGTAAGATAAGATATTAAATCTTATTTTGTGCATTTAATAGCACTGTGTGTAGCCAGTTCCTCCTCTCTATGGAACCTTCAATCAGCACCAGAAGCACTTAAAAAAAAAAAAAAAAAAAAAAAAAACAAAAAAAATCTGTGAAGCCACAACTTGAGCATGTATAGTACATAAAGCACCTGCCTAATCAACCACCTTATCTTACCACATTAAGAAAATCTCCCAGTGTTGGCTTTAAAGTTTGAGCCGTGATCCCATTCTGTTAGAGGGAGCAACTTCGACAATGTGGAACCGTTCGTTAAGGCTCCTGTTGCAATGGACTTAGCAAGAATATCTTGGCTGACTTCCACTCATGCTGCATATGTGTTCCAGTTGATAGGATGGATGCTTTTGTCTGTAATGTAATGGACTAGTGTATCCTGGCAACACTTCATGGTCTCCAGTTTCTCCCTGCAATTGGCTGCTGTTTCTCACTACTCTTCTGTTAGAAGCCTAGCTCTTCTTCATCCTGGCTTTCTTCACGTTTGCATGGTTAGTGCCTGTCTGATATGTCCCCTTTTTTGTGTGCCTTCTGAGTGTATTGGTGACCCTTGGCCTTGTCTTTGCTAAGCATTGCTCTTATTGTGTATATTTCCTTATCACCACTTCATGTTCCTGGATGTTGCTTGTTCCTTCCCTGCATTTGTCTGATTGGGAATGGAGAACTAACGGATGTGATTGAACTGACTAGTCTGCAGTTCTTATTACCTTTCTCGCTGCCTTTCCTTTTAGTGCTTTTTACCACATGCTCTGCTGCACTTTTCCTCCTCTCTCCCTGGTATCCCAAATCCACAGCTTTGGTTGTTTGCTGTTGCTATGTTATAGAGCATTTCTGCTGAGAGTCTAGGCTCCCATACAGCCTTTCTGCCCTATAAGCTTGGGGTTTTTTTTGTTTGTTTGTTTTTTAAAACCTGATAACCCTGCTCCCTTTCTAAACAAGTCCACTCCTGCATCTCTTCCCTACCTTTGACTCAAACTTCACCATTTTTCACAATAGTTTTTAGGATAGAATTGACCCTATCCAGAAAATTCTCCCGGATGTAGTCTACCACCACCTCCAACTACATTTTAGTGCCCTTCCACTTACTAACCTTTTTGTTTTTCCCTGCTTGTTATCAACTTTCCTTCCTACTACCTTCTAGCCTTTTGACCTCCTCTGTCCTCTCATTCCACTTTTCTCCTGCCCCTTTTAGGGAAAGAGGATACAAGGACATACTTCTGGGGGCCTATGTGGCCTCTCTAATTGTTGGACCGTTTCCCTCTTGCCTCCAGTGTGCTTGTGCATGTTGCATACATGCTTTAATACTCACTGTCTCTCCCACTCTTGGTTTACTTGAGAGCTGGGTTCTGTTCTCTTTGCTAGTCACACTTAACATTAGCTCTCTGCCTGATAAGGCAAGGGCCTTGGGTTGGTACTAATCTTCCTGTTTGTCAACAGTTTTAAAAGAGTTGGCTGCTCCTCTTGGCTTTGTCATGTAAGCTGTCCTGGTCCACTAAGCTCTTCACCCATTTCTTCAGTGTCAGTGTTAAGTCATCTTCCAGTGTGACCACTAGCATTTTGTCATGGCTTCTCCACTGTGTCTCTTTGGGCAAGATGTATCTGTTATGGCTTCAGCTCCTGCTCTCTGCACTTCGCTCTCCCAGTCAGTGCAGTCTTGTGTTTTGAATTGCCTCTTTGCCATCATCTGCTATGATTTACTGTAATTTTATAGTCAACATAATCTTTCCTCAAAGAAAGACCATGATATTATTTTTCTCACCCAACGTCACACAGAACTTTCTTCCTCATTCCTATAGCTTAAAACCCTTTCACTAAATTATGATGATCTCTTGTCATCTCTTCTCTGCCACCCTGCTTCAGTTAAAACAAAACCTTGCTACCCATCTTGCTCTTCTTTAAATGCCATTCCTGATTTCTTCTTGCCTTTTGCATGAAGTTCAGCTCCTGATTTAAAAAAAAAAAAATCACTGCTTGAAGTTTGGATCTTCAGTAGCTATTTGTGTCCTACCATGCCCACAAAGCTTGACAACGGAATTTAAAAAAAAAAAAAAAATCAAACTTAAGAGACAGATTGTTGAGAGCACATGACCCCCTTGAACACAAAACCCTTGCCAATTGTGTTTTTTGGATGGCTGGAGACATGACCTATGATGGCTCTTCAAACCTGAATAAAATATTCTTCTTGGTTTGTTGAATTAAAACACCAACTGTAAAACTGGTGTGTGGTTTTTTTGGCCAAGGGCTATATATTACATTTTAAAGTGATTTGGGCAGGAGTAGTGTCTTTCTTTTTCTCTTCAGTATCAAGCAAACCACTGCTTAAATGTTTACTTAGCTCTTTTGGGACTCCACTAATACATTTGTTTCTAGTATTACACCGGTGTGCTAGGTGCTTTCCAAACAGAAAAGAATGCACTGTCACTGCCCTGAGGAGTTCATAAAGCAAAAGGCAGACACAATGTAATGGGAAGTGATAGGACATAAGCGGCCAGTTTGTTTTTGGTAATAAAAGGATTGTTGTAGACATCCCAATTATCCATCAACTATCCATTGTGGACAACGTTGCTTCTTGGAGGTGTCATGGCAAAACTGGATCTACAGGTAAGATTTGAATGCAGAGACTGTATCTACAAGTGGCCTTGTAGAAGATAGCCAGTCATCACTTCTAGAAATATGATATAGTGATGCATTGAGGTGTCTACCACTAGTTATTGTCAAGAAACCGCCCAGCTTTTTATATGAAAACTGCTTGAAGAAATCCAATGCTTTTACATTACATTATTGTGCCTTTCAATAGTTCTCCATAAGTTTAGTCTCACTTGTGATATTACATATTTCCTCACCAGGGGCTGCTGTGTTCACATTTAATGCAGTAGACTGAGTGATGAATTATGAACGCAAAACAACCTTATGTATGCAACAGTTTGTTTTTCCACTCATTTTTGTTGTGTGATTATCTTTGGTGGTGAGCCAAGGATATTGGCCTTTTCCTTATATCACAAAGCTTACATTCCATTTTTTTAATCAAGTGAGGTAGGCCATAATGTTGGGGGTGGAGGGTTAGGTTTTGTTTGTTTATTTTTGTGTTTTAAAAAAATAAATAAAAAATAAAGGGCCATAGCATGTTTGCCCCTGCTTTCAATTGTGTTAACAAGTTCTAGAAATGTTTTGAATTGATAGTACTAAACCCTCAAGGTTGTTCTTCACTGTAGTCTATTTTTACTCTGAAGAGTTATAATCATCATGTCTAGAAAGTGCTTTATATTTCTTAAGATGTTTCACCATTTTGTTTTATCGCTGGATGGTGCTGTTGCACAACAAAATAACAAAGTCCTAATAAAACACCTTTTATATTGTAGTATTAACTCCTTAAATATGCTTCCATGTTGTGTAGTGCAAGGCCTCAGATGGAAATGAAAGTGATGCATAAATTGATAAAATGTCAAATCTGAAAAAACCTCAATGTGGACAAAAATTTTAAATGCTCTAAACATTTATATGGTTTGTGTAAGACATGATTAATTTAGCAAACATTCCAAACTGTAGCATGTATAATAATATAAACTTTTTAAACTGGTAAAAATCAAAATGATCAAACTTCTTCAGAAGGGAAAATAAAACTATGTTCAAGTAAGCTCTTTATTCTACAGCAATGAGCCTTCATAGCACACCATTGTAGGCTTTGTATATTGTTTAAGTTAATATCAAACTATAGTAAGATATTATCTGTAACTGATTAGGACTAGATTAAAAACTGAATTAGGCCACCTTCACAATGCTGAATGAGTAATAGGGAACCATCAGCTTGGGTTCTGTCTCTTCTCTACATTCTTATTTCTGCATGACCTCATAATTAATACATTTACAGTGATGATCCCTCGAATCTCTTTGTACCTCTGACTACTTCCCCTCTATTTAGTCTCAAGTCTGTAGCTATCTTTGATATTCCTTCTTGGATGTCCAGTTGTCAACAGACGCTGAAT